TCAACTTTTCATTCTTCTATTTTTCATCATACCAAATGGAATGCTCCGTTTGGTAGGAAAGATGAAAAATATGAGAGATACATTTTTTATTCTTCAAGGATGAAAAATAGGAATTACAAATTTTCCTTACTTTGGGTTTGATTAGATGGATGAAAAATAAAAATTAATAATTTATTTTTATTTATTTTTTTTGTGTTGGTTAAGATTAGGGGTGACAATCGAGTCGTATCATGTCACATTCGTGTTGAGTTATAAAATTATGAGTCTTTTATATTTCTTATTCGTGTGTCAGGTCATTTTCAACTTCGTGTTAAATTATAATCAAGTTCGTGTCATAAAATTCGTATTGAGTTTGAGTCGTGTCATCGTGTTGAGCCGAAAATTTTCACTCCTACTTAAGATAAAAAAAATATTTTTTTAATTTAAATTTTTTAATTTAATTTAATTTATTTTTATTTTTAAATTTATTTCTAAATATATATATATATATACATATTTTATCATTTTATTTTTATATGAAATTAATGTATACATAATATAGAGATAAATAAGATACAGCTCAACACAAATAATTAACTTTTCATACACTTTGCTTTCGACCTTAAAAGGATTTATTTTTGTAAGCTGTAAAGAAAATTAATTTATCCAATTTTTCATTCTTCATATTTTTCTTCTTTATCAAATATAATATATTATTTATTTCTTTAATTTTTAATCGTTCCATTTTTATATCATATCAAATAGAACATGTGATATAATGTCATTGTTGATATGTTGTGTCATCATTGACATAAGAGATTATCATCTAATAAAAAAAATAGATAAATTTTACATATTTTACGAATCTCCGTATAATATTATTTAGTAATCACTCAAATATATAAAGTATATATTATTTATTTATAAATTTATTATTAAATAATAACACAAATAATATCATAGTGTCAGAGTCACACTTAAGGTTACTCATGTCTTGTCATGTTGAGGAAGGTCAAAAGATGAAATGGGCCCGAGTGTCGTAAACGTGGTGGTGTATTTTGTTTCTTAAAAAACGTGAAGGCACGCTAATAAAAAATATTTTGTAACTATAATAATGGCATGGCGTCTCCTGATTTTTGCTTAAATAATCTAAGTTTGAGTTTATTATTGTCAGCGTAAATCCCCATAACCATGAAAAAATTGTACGAAAAATGATCAGTGGGTTCGTTTTAGAGAATTTATTTGGTGTAGTTCATATTTTTCGGTTAGTTAGGCCAATATCACCTAAAAATTCGATTATTAATTTCATAAGTTAATATTAAACATTTTTTATTATTTAATTTTTTTTTTGCTTGATCCAATAACAACAGATTTTTTTTTTTTTGGGATATCTTTCCACATTTTTTAGGATCTGCAAGGGTGAAGAATATGTCCCGTGACGTGTAAGGAAGTCAAAAGTAATTATGGGTCCGAGTAGGGGTGTCAAACGTGTCTGATTAGATTATTTTGTGTCGATTTAATTTCGAATTTGTATCAAAAATCTCAAAACACAATTCTAGCATGTTTAATAATCGTGTCAAAATGTGTAAATACTAACCTAATCGGACTATTAAACGGGTTATCCAAACCCGACATATTTGACATTTTTAATAAACAAGTTGTTTTCGAGTAAACACACATAGTATGACATGTTTAATCTATTTAACACACATAACACGTTTCCACATCTGCTCATTACTATTAATGCATTATTCAATCATTTATCCAAAATTTTAAATAATTTTTTAACCAATAACATATTACTTCTCATTAATGAAATTAACTAAAATACATTCAAGTTTCAATACAAAAATTCAAGCAACAACTATACTATTATAATGTCATAATAATGTTAAAAATTATACTATCAATTATCATAGTAAAAAGTAATAACTAATAAGTAATAATATTAAAGAACACATCAATTAGGCAAATTATACTGACGTAAACGGATCTATAATGAGTTAGGTCGAATTCGTATCCGAATCATGTCAACCCGTTTCAAATATATGGGCTAATCAGGTCAAAATAAGGTTAACCTGATTTTGACATGAACCCGACATAATTTTTTTTTGTATTAAACATGTTAATTGATTTAATTTCGTCCTCAATTCGTGTTCCGTTAACATGTCGGGTCAAAAATTGACACCCAGGGTTATCTTTGTCTAGAATAAGTTGACTAAATAATCATTTTGCTTTCCACTAAAGGTTATTCAGTAATGTTTACCGTAGGAGTTTTAGTATCGTAGTTCAATTTAATATTAACCTTAATTTATAATTATTAATCCAAAAAATAAAAAATTATAAAATAAAAATTGTAAATGTGGTATATTTTATTTGTTAAACAGTGAAGGTATGCTACCAGAGAATATTTTCCATTATCGTCATAGGTCTCATGGTTTAATGATCTATGTTTTGAGTTTATTATTGTTAGACGTGACTCCCCATAACATACGAAAAACTGTCAATTATTGATATATTTTGGAAAATTTATTTAGCTTTAAGTACATAATTCATATAATTCATATTTTTCAGTTATTAGGTCTAATGGTTTTAAGTAAATAGTTATTTATACAAACAAATATTTTTATCATTATTTAAAATTGTGTGATTCCCTCGATCTGTTAGAATTATTCGAGAAATATTTGGCTTTATAGAAAATCCTAACCAATGTCCACGTGGACTTTTAGAAACGGTAAGATCACATTCTTGAGACGGTAGCTTGCCACCCACAGTAAGATTAAATTGGTGAACTGGGAGTATGTATACTTGATTTGTGTTGGATGGATCGAGTCGGGTCAGCCCTGCTAAGCACAATAATATTGAACTGTAATGAATTAAGCTAAGTTGTGATTTATGGTATCGTCAAGATACATTGTCTATCCAACAACTACTATAAATTATGTCAATAAATTATATATAAATAATATTTGTCTTCTTATTTTTTTTCCTTATTTTCCAAATATTGCTGTTATATTTTTTTCTTTATTTGCATAGTCTTTTAGATCTTACTCTTTTTTTTTTTGGGTAACGGAGAATCTCTCTAAAGTAGGACAACTTTGTGTTGAACTAAAATAGACTTTTAGTAATAAAATTTGAATTTTTGTCGACATTGAGCTTAAATCAAAGTGAGAACCACTCATTCTTTTGAGTAAACTTTCATTGGTTCATGTTCTACTTTGTGAGGAGAAAAACATTGTATATTCACTTACTCAAATCGAGTAAGAGTTAAATGAAAAAATAGATTCTAAAATAACCTCTTGAATGTGAAAATATTCCCACTTGGGCAAGAAATATTTCATGAGCATATATAATCCAAGTTTCCTCTCTAAAAATTAATATTATTTAAATTTAATTTATAAAATTTAATTAATAAAATTCATATTAAACTCCAATATTAATCATAATTTTCTGTTAATCTAGCAATTACAATAAACTAAATAAATAAATTAGATGAATAAATTATGCAACAATAAATAAAATTATTAAATAAATTAATTAGATGAATAAATTATGGGACAATAAATAAAATTATTGTACACCCTAAAATTAGGATAGGGGTTGCAATTTCTGACACAATACTACAACATGATTTGAACTTGACACTAAATTAATAGGTTAGAGTTGATCATTTCTCAACATGAACTCGAAATAACACAACATGTTCACACAAATAACAAATGAATTATGTTAGTGTCAAACACGAACAATACGAATAACTAATATTATAAAAATAAAATATTAATTATTTGTTATTATTTATTAAACATTGACATAATTATCGTAGAAAAAAGAAAATTTTACTCATTATTATTATTTTTATTAAGTTAGTTTTTAATTTATAGAAAAATTATGAGCATGAATTTAATTAATTGATAATAAAATCTTAAATTTAAATTTTAGTGTTAAATTATTTATTCAAAATTTATATAGATCAATACAAACATAAATTAAAATTAAAATAAGTTAGAGTTAATTAATGCTCCATATGAACCCACAATAACACAACACAACACAAATCCAATACAACACGATTCACGCTGTGGAAAAACGTGTGGTGCGACAGGCGTGGCAGAAGATTTGGTTATGCAATTAATTTAGAATAATGCTAGATGAACTTAAAAGATAGACTTGATAATTACAACCATTGATGCTGGGACCTATAGTAAAATCAATGATTGTAATTATCAAGTTTAGTTTTTAAGTCTACTTTTTAAATCCATACAATATTGCTCATTAATTTACTATGAAAAAAAAAGGTGTATAATAAAACAACTTGCATGCTTGACTAATCCCAGAAATAAGTTGCGGTTGGGTGTGAAATTGAACACCTAATTAGTGACTCATGTTCCACCACATGTCGTAAGCGTTTCATGTGAATGTATATTCCAAGAGTAATGTTAAAAATTTGACCTAATCTACAGAATTAATTATGTCGCCTTTTGCTCATGAACTTGTTCAGTGGGACTTCATTAATTAACATATTATTATATCAACAAATTGAGTCTTTCATATCAATAATGTTATTTAAACTTAATTTAAAAATTTAATTCAATACATCAATTGAATTAAAAGTGAATTCCACATTAATCGTATTTAGGGAATCGTATCGATTCAATTATTAAAAAGTCTAAAAGGTTAACCCATTTACCATCTTTAAGAATGCAAACATCACAAACCTATTTATAGGGAAAAAAAAACTATCTGTCCAACTCTATTGCATGATTGCATAACATGTGAACACATCAATAGCATAATGTTATAATTTACTAGTTGGCAATGGTTTCTCAATGTTCAAAAATTTGACAATTGACTCTTGGGTATGTAATTGTAGGCAGCACTGCCAGCACATTTGGATTGTGCAAAATGCATGATCCTACACCGTCCAATATGCCTACATAACCTGTAGTTTTTTTGATCATACACAACTGAACTATTTATAGTTAGCCAATGCATTAATTGTTGAACTCGAGGCTTCCATCCACTAGTTCTTTATACTCCACAATCACCACCACCTCCACCACTACCATCGCCTTATCACTGCCGTCTTCGTTGTGTCAAACGAACGGCTGTGAACCCAAAATGGGATCGGCCGGAAATGGCGAAGATCAACCCCTGCTATTGAGCAGCTCTGTAGACTACCCAACTTTACCACCCAAATTACCCAAAGCTGCAGAAGAGAGACAATATGAGTATAGCATCCAACTCGAGAAAACGTTGGCCAACACCGATCTACCGTTTCTTCAGCGCATTGTGGCGGCGACATGGATAGAATGTAGGCTACTCTTCCCACTCGCCGCCCCCGCCACCACCGTGTACGTAATAAACTTCCTCATGTCCACGTTCACCCAAATCTTTTCCGGCCACCTCGGCAACCTTGAGCTCGCCGCTGCCTCTCTTGGTAACAATGGCATTCAAGCCTTCTGCTACGGTCTCATGGTACTTTTGCCTTCTTGATCTCTCTCTCTCTCTCTCTCCTTTGCACCGCACTCACAAACACAAACATAAACACATTGTTATCAGTTCTGTTAACTTGTTTTAACCTGTAACGGACAGCTTGGAATGGGAAGTGCGGTGGAAACCCTTTGTGGGCAAGCATATGGGGCAAAAAAATACGAAATGCTTGGAATTTACACCCAAAGATCAGCAATCCTCCTCAATCTAACTGGTGTTGTAGTCATGTTTACCTACATTTTCTCAAAACCAATTCTCATACTACTTGGTGAATCAGAAGAAATCGCATCAGCCTCAGCTCTATTCACCTTCGGCTTAATCCCTCAAATCTTCGCATACGCTTTAAACTTCCCAATCCAAAAATTTCTTCAATCTCAAAGCATAGTAGCTCCAAGTACGTATATATCAGTAGCCACCACTGTTTTCCATATTTTTCTCAGTTGGCTTGTGGTTTACAAGATTGGGTTGGGGCTTTTGGGTGCTTCTTCGGTATTGAGTTTGTCTTGGTGTGTGATAGTCATAGCTCAGTTTATATATATTGTCACTAGCGAGAGGTGTAAGGACACTTGGACAGGGTTTAGTATACAAGCTTTTCATGGGCTTTGGGATTTCTTCAAATTGTCCGCTGCTTCTGCTGTGATGCTGTGTTTGGAGAGTTGGTACTTTCAGGTTATTGTGTTGTTGACTGGGATGCTTGAGAACCCTGAGATTGCTCTGGATTCTCTCTCTGTTTGGTAAGAAAAAAACAAAATTGCTTCGTAACTGTAGTCCAGTAGGCAAAGGTTAATTAATTCCCCCTAAGATAATGTTTTGTTTGGTGCTAATTGCAGTATGACTGTTTTGGGATGGATATACAGTATGTCAATTGGGTTCAATGCAGCGGCCAGGTCAGTTTTTACGTTTGTATTTTTTATTCACAGTGCTAAGTAATGTGCACACATTAAAAGTTATCACAACGCTAACTCGTCGTATATAAAAGTAGAAAGGGACTACAATCTTGTTCATTTTTTTATGATGAGCAGTGTAAGAGTGGGGAATGAGCTTGGAGCTGGACATCCAAAGGCAGCAGCATTCTCTGTCGTAATCGTGACAACATCCTCTTTCATCATATCCCTAATCGCATCAATAGTCTTGCTCGCATTGCGCCATAAGATCAGCTATCTCTTCACTGAAGGAGAAGTTGTGGCTAATGCTGTCTCAGATATGTGCCCACTTCTTGCCGTTACTCTAGTTCTCAATGGAATCCAACCCGTTTTGACTGGTAAGTTTTAGACCCACTTTTGTATAACCGTCTCAATGGATCGAATTTACATTAATCCAAATTTAAATTTTATTCCCATAGTCTATTTTCAATTCTGTTAAAAATAACATATCCGACCAAAATGTATCATCTGATACGGATAACTTGATTAACCCCGTCTATCCTTCTCTTAAATCCATCAATGCATGCATGTTTTTAGAATAAGATACTTTCCCTTTGGATTAACGTGAGGTCTTTCATGAAGGTGTGGCTGTTGGGTGTGGATGGCAAACTTTTGTTGCGTACGTGAACGTTGGCTGTTATTATGTAGTTGGAATCCCTCTGGGTGTACTGCTCGGTTTCTACTTCAAATTGGGGGCTCAGGTGATCTAATAATATTGCATTTACTTCAATCAATAAGTCATCAAGGATCAAATTTTTATTTTATATGTAATTTTGATTAGTTCAAAAACAAAACCGATTTACTATTGTTTGAAAAAATATCTTGAAAATAGAGAAAATTTCAGAGTTTATTTTGGGAATACCCAAACATCCTGTACACATTGATCCATAAGAATATCTATATTTAATGTTTAGAACCTTCACAAATAATATTTATTAGTTATTTCCCTCCTATGTTAATTAAAACGAAATAAAATTTTAATTCTTTGATTAAAATTAAAAAAAATATGGTAATAATTATTTGTGATGGTTGCAGGGAATATGGGCGGGGATGCTTGGCGGCACACTAATGCAAACCGTGATACTAATGTGGGCCACTTATCGGACTGATTGGAATAAAGAAGTAATAAAGTCTCGTTTAATTTTATTTTATTTTTCTCATAATCACCATGAATGAGATGCATACCAAAAATCAATGATCACCATGAATGGATGCCCTAAGTTTGTGACATGAAAGATAGCTTAAGTGGCTTCCATAAACTTCATGTGAGAACTCGTCTCTTAATGGATCAGAATTTGATCTAAATCCAATTTAAATAGTCGGATATGAATTGATACTTTGATCAAATTTTAATAATAATACGAAATTCGATAAATAGTCGGATACGAAATTGTATGTGATATCAAATTAAAACTGCAGGTTGAATTAGCTTCGAGGAGATTGAATAAATGGGATGAACAGAAGGAACCACTTCTGAAGGGGTGAAACAAAGCTTCATCAATTTCATCATTTGCTGGCCAGCCACCACTATAACTTGTATTTTTTGTGTGAATGTTTCACAACTGAAGGGTCTATTAATGGTAATAAGCCCAAATTCCAACTAGAAAAAAGAAAGAGAAGTCTTATTTTTGTTAGAGTATAAAATTTCTCTGAGGCTATTGAATGGTTGTGATTTAAGAGCATGTTAAACCAAGTGGGGATGTGATTGTAATTTGTTTCTTCTTCTGTTACAGCTTGCGAACTCATCAGAATAAAATATACTTTGTCTTTAGAAGCTTTGCTACCTTGTAGAATTTTTTTAGAAAAATTTCAACCATACCGTTTCTAATTTAATATATCTTTAAAGACACCCTTTTTATTATCCAAAATATCACCGACACCTCTTTTAGTTTATATTTAAACATCAGTGACACTTATTGCCGTTAAATCACCATTTCTAATAAAAAAAATCATCTAAAATACAAAAATTGTCTTTACATAAACCCCAAATAATCTTTCTACATAAAATTTGAGCCGATTAAAGTTTATTTTTTTACATATTAAACTTGAGCCAATTAAAATTCAATTCGAGGTGATTAAATTTTATTTTTTTTACGTTTTAAAATTTGAATCGATTAAAATTTATAGTTTTTTTACGAATCAAAATTTAGGTCAATTAAAATTTAATGCGAGTTTATTAAAATTTAATTCACGTTGAATACAATTTATTTTTAATCAAATTTTAATCCGCACGAATTTTAATACGTAAAAAATTTTTAAAAATAGAGGGAGTCTCATTGAAGATATGTCTATCTAGAGGGTGCGTGAATGAAGTTTTTCCTAAAATATATAATGGATAATTTAGTATAATTATATTCTAATTAAGGCCTTTAATCCAACAAAATGTTAGTAAAGATTCAAAAAATAGAGGAAGTGTTATAGCCCTGTACACGTGATCTCATTTATCCTGATAGCCTTTGGACACGTGATCTCATTTATCATTAGTTACTCACCTAAAAAAAAAACCAAGAAAAAAACAAAGAAACAAAAACAATAAGCCAAGAAACGACAAGGAAATAGCATCTTAATCCTTAAAGATTACTGGTCCAATGATTATTGATGCCACTGTGAGGCACTCATGAAACCAGCCAGATCTTTTGCTTGTATAATGAGAATGAAACTTCTTCTTCTTCTTTCTTATCTTGTTTCAAATGCTTTGGTGCTGTCTCCGACAGACAATAATTTAATTTTTAGTGATAAGTAATTTATTATTTATTTATTGTCACCTTTTTTTGACTTTTTTGTAATATATTATCAGATGGAAAGAGATGACAAAGTTTAAATCCTTTTTAAAGTTCAAAAACAGAAATGGTGATTAATAGGTCCACAACTGCTAACCTCTGTGACCTTTTTCTCAATCAATGTAGATTAGTATTAAATTATTTTACTTTATTTTTCTAATTTTGTTGCCTTTTTTATTGATATATAGTTACAAACAAATATACTCAACATCAATGCTTGATAAAAAAAAAAAAAAAACTGAACATCAATGATTATAAATAATTACAATTTTATCCATGTTAAAGTATTTTATAAGTGTGACCTTAAACATTTTTGGGACTTGACTAGGGAACCAATAAAAAAAAAAAATTGGTACCGTACCTAAAAAATTTACTATTTTAATAAGTGCTTTTAAAATTTTATGGGTCATTTTACAACCGAAAAAACAATCATTTTTAGGGGTAATTAACCACTTTTGTGGATATTTTTTTTACTATTATAATAATTATTTTTACCATTTTTCTTCAGTACAAAAAACGAATTTCATTTTTATGACTGACTAGTAATGCAAAATGTGTGTTGTACGTAAATAAATTTAAATAATATTTTTTATAAATATGAATTATATGTGCAATTAAATTAAATATCAATTAGTTGTTGAATAATTATTTCGTAATTTAATTATTATTTTATTCTATAGGATTTTGAGTATTTAATCTGTAATTAATTAAAAATATTTTTATTATTTTGTTAATATATAGATTCATTGCATCGCTTATAATATTATTGCATACCAAAAAATAAAATATAATATATATTTTATCATGAAATTCAATCTGATTATTACATTTGTTTAATAATTTAACATATATGTAAACTTTACTCCTTCATATAGATATAAAAAATTGTATATAATTGTATTATTAATAAATAAGTTCAAAAAAATTTAGAAATTTTTATAAAAAAGTTCAAAACAATTTGAAAGTCAAATAGGAATAAAAAACAAAAAATAGACTAAAGTATGTAGGTGAGTATAATTGATTTTATCATAATAATTGGAAATAAAATAGAAAATTAAAATTTTTTCACAAATGCTACCATTAATAATTAATATAAAATTATCATTTTTATGGGTGTTTTTATCACTATTATAGTTATTATTTTTATTATTTTTTTGGTAATATAATAGTGATAAAAATTGTTATAATAATAATAAAAATATTCATAAATTAGACGAATAGAAATACGATACTATTTTTTTTTTCCTACTGCAGGAAACTTACATTTTTTTATGTATTTTGTTGAAGTAATATGCAGACATGGCGTAGAAGACACCAATTGTATCGGTGTCATTGATCCTTACACACGGTGTGTGGAGGTCCCTATCTGTACACTCTGATCTGAAATGACAATGCCATGCAATGATGTGAAAGGCTGCCTTAATAATCCCACGTAGCCATGGTTTGGTGCTGTCCACATGAGAATTGTGGCCCTAGAATTTAATTTTTCATTTATCAAATGAATCTATCTTTGGATAGATATAGATAAACTAATCATAATCTTGAAATTACGATAAAATATAAAATTTGAATGTCTAAAAAATTGATTTTATTATATTAAATTTTTTAAAATTATATTAATTATAAATTAATTAAATATTAAATAATTAAATATATAATAGAAATAAGTGATGTGATATTTTTAAGGAAAAAATATATAAATAATTAAATATGTGATAGAAATGAGTGATGTGATTTAACGTTTAAATATGACAAAAGAATGATGGATGAGATAAGTGATTGATGATAGTTTTAAAAAAAAAATATGATTGAAATAAAATTTAAATACACTTCTATTTTATTATATAGAAATAAAATAGAACGACGAGGTTGGAGAGACACCTTCCAACCCAACTAACCTAATAAATATTGTAAAAGAAGTGTGGAAAGTCGGTCTCGTCCATCTAAAGGTGTACACCCCATTTAAGAACACGTGTGAATGGATAAATGGTTCCAATCGAACTTAAGCTGACGTATCCAAGTTATACCCTTATACATTATTAAATAAAGGGAGACGGCAAAATTTGAATTTTCAATTTCAAAATCTAATAGAATAGATGGTGATCAAATAGGTCTAACTGTTAAACTCTCTCACCTTTTTTTTAAACAATGTAAACTTGTCTTAAATCATTTTACTTTTTTTTTTTAAAATTTTATGGCCTTTTTAATCGAATTGTAGTTTCAAACAAATTAACTTAACATCAATGACTACAAATAATTACAATGTTATCCATGTTAATGTATTTGATAACTGTTAGCATGAACCATTTTTGATGTAAGAGTTGTCACTAAGAAAAAAATTTCGGTAGTATATAGACATTTATAATATTTTGTGAATGTTTTTAACACTGTTGTGATATTTTTATTACTATTGTGGTATCGAAAAAAGTGATAAAAATAGTTATCATAATAATTGAAAAAATGTTTACAATAATGATAAAAATACTCACAAATATGATAAATCATTCACAAATTAGTAATTTTTTTTTGTATCGAAAAAACGTGGTAAAATTAGTTACCACAAAAGTGGAAAAACATCCACAACACTGATAAAAATATCCACAAAAATTATAAAAACACCCTAGTTTTTATATATATGACATATTGATACACAATGTCAAAGTATCAAAAAAATATAAGCGACTTTTTGATCTAATATTTCTCCTTATCTTGTTAAGACTTTACTTTTTTGAGGTCAATGATTCAAATATCCTCACCTCCCAAAAAAAAAAAAAAATCAAAAATAAGAAAATAAGACTATGATAAAAGCAGTAAGGAAAGGAAACATGGCCAAGCAGCGACAGCCTACCTTACAAATGCTTGTTTCCACATCGGCTGCTTTGCAGTAAGCGTGATGAAAACAAAAGTATAAAAACTGCTTGGATCCCACATCGGCTGGCATATGGGAAAGGGGAATGGAAGGCAACTAATAATAGTGGGGTCTCATGTTGTGGCGTAGTGTGTTGGTCGTGTCGAGCACAGCTTTGTTGACTTAAATGGGTGAATAATGTTATCCAAGGTATGGTACCCTTTTTTATAGTACTGTTCTATTTTATTAAAGAAAGGATACTTTTATGTATACATAAATTAACTAAGAATAATTTTACATGTACTAAATTTTTATGTTTTAATTTATGTTAAATTAATATATAATTATTGAATCAGTAATAAAACTTATCGGCGAAGAATTGTAAGTGTTCTATCGATAAAGTAGCATATGCAGACCTAAAGTAAGAAGACACCAGATGTATTATTAGTGCTATTGATTCTAACGTGTTTGTGGTGTGTGGAGATCCCGTAATCCGTACACTCTGATCCGATGAGACAATGACTTGTAATGATGTGAAAGGCACCCTCTATAATCTCATGTCGTTTGGAGATATGAGAATGGTTCCACATGCGAATCGTGGTCCTAGCATTTAATTTGGTTCTCACTGTCATGGTTTTGTCGTATTTTTTCACTTTATCAATCATTTTCTTCCTTAGTGGGAGAGCCCTTTCCAGACTCTGATTTTTTTTTTTTTAGAATGGTTTCATCTGTGTTTTTTCAACTAATTTATATACATATAGATTAATTTTCTTAAAAACAGGTTATTTAGTAGAAATTAGGTCATTCATGACCAATAAATTTTTTATGACCTAATTTTAAGGATATGTTAAAATTCGAATTCAAGATATTTGAATTTATAAATCGTCTTTATTACCGGTTGAACTATTTTTTAAAATTAAAATTCTAGTTTTCAGCTGCACTATTTTAATTGCTTTGAATAATTTCGCTGGAACTGTAATTTGGCCGTTCACGAGGAATTTGAATAACATTTTCATTATTTGAATTTCCATCAACATCGTCTTTTTTTAATGACTGTCATATATATATTTTTCAAATTCAATGTTGTTAATTAAATCTAGGATTAATATAATCGCAATAAAAGACAGGCATTAGACAAGTAATCTAGATGGTTTTTATGAGACTTGAGAATTTGTATGTCGAGATGGTAACTTCTAAAATCAGAG